ACTTCATCCCAGGGCTTGTTGACCTGGTGCCAGCTGAGCACGGTGGTCCGGACGGGTGTCACCCACCGTGGGGTCCCTTCTCCTTCCCTCATGCTTGGGGAGGCTGTGTCTGCACCACCTCACTCCTGCAAGCCCTGGCAGTCACGGCCAGCAACCCCGACATCCCTGCAAGCCCTGGCAGTCATGGCCGGCACCCACCCCACCAGCTGCCCCTTGCTGCTGGGTGCCGGCAGGGCCCATCCCAAGCAGGTCCCACTGCCCTGGGCCTTCCCGCAGCGGGGCTGCCCACGCGTGCCCGCCCTGACTCACGACGCAGCTATGCCAGGTGCTGCCATTGCTGACAGGCACGGCCCCAGGCTTGGCGCGGCACCACATAGCCCAGTGTGGTGCAACACGGCTTTGTCTGGCATGGCATGGCCCAGCGTGGACTGGCACAGCTTGGCCTGGTGGTGTTGGGTTGATGGTTGGACTGATGATCTTAGAGATCCTTTCCAACCTTAATGATTCCTAGTTTTTACTTTCTAATGAAAAATAACCCAGCCACCAAGCCAGCAAACATGAAATTACTACTCTACCCTTAATTGATTTAGTGGTGGGCTTGGTAGTGGTTGGACTGGATGATCTTAAAGGTCTTTCCCAACCTAAACAATTCTATGATTCTATGGTGTGGCTTAGCCCAGCATGGCCAACATGGCTCAGCACAGCATGAGCTGACCAGCTCAGCGCAGTTTGGCATGGCCTGGCCCAGCCCCACCTGCCCCAGCCCTGGAAAGGTCTGCACTGCCATCCTTCTGGTGCCAGGGCTGAACATGGTGGTCCCCACAGGTGTCACCAACCGTAGGGGTCCTTCTCCTCCCCTTGTGCCTGGTTGCAGCTGGGGAGGCTGTGCCCATACCGCCTCACTGCAGCAGCTGGCACCCAGCTGCTCCCCCAGGCTTCACAGAGCACCTGCTTTCTAACCCACCCCATCTTGCACCAGGAGGGCAAATCCTTGCTAAGCAGGGAGCAGGTTGCATGTGGGGTCAGGAGCTGTGTCCCTTGCCCGGGAGAAGGGCAACCAGGACATTCAAAACCAGCTGTAGCATGGTCCTGCTGCCGCACCCACAAGGGAATACTCCGGCCCTGGCCAGGACCCACTGGAACTGCCCTGTCCCTGTCCACACCTAGGAGAGCCCACCACAGGCAGCTTATTCTGCCTACCATGGCACAGAGGATGCTTTGGGGTGCCCTGCACTGCGTTGCCGCAGCGGCAGCTCCATCTTATCCTCAGCCAGAAGGCGGCTGTGTCACTGCCCGCAGGCTGGTAGTGTAGGCAGGGTCTCTGCTGGGGTCACCAGCCAGCTCTGCCCTGAGCTGCAGGAAGCAGCGTGCTTTCAGACAAGGAGCAAGCAGACCTGCAACGCCAGGGCTCGTTCCTGCTTTGGGCTTGTGCCTGAACAGCTCTGCCAGTTTTTTCTTTGGTGTTGACCACCACTGACTGCTCAGATCCACCCAGGACAGTGCCTATCCTTGTTGTGACCCTGTTCTCCTCCTGTTCATCTCTTGCCTTATTACTCCTTAGTGGCCTTTAACGTCACTCTCACAGCTGACTCTCCTGGGGTAGGAGACAGTTCCTGTGTAATCCTGTCACGCGGGCTGTCCTGTGTCCCGCCCCTTGTGCTTGGGAGTAGTTTCCGTCAGACACCTGCACAAATACCTGTGCAATTTCCTTGTTCCCTTCCCTCAAGCTTCTTTTTGCAGCAATAGCTGCAGGGACTTGGCAGCAGGCACCGGTCTTCTTTCAGTCTTTGGTTCTCTTTGTGCCCAGGTATTGTCTCTTCCCAGTCCTTTGGCTGCAGGCTTCGAGGGGAAGGAGAGTTTTTTGTCCCCTGCTCACACTGCGCCGGTGGCACATGACGCCCCAGAGCCTGAATACAGCACAGTGGGAATGGAGCTGGGGTCACTCGTCCATCTCAGAGGCCTGCCCCGCAACTTGTGCCTTATGCAATCCTCTGATTGATGGCCACTGTACACAAATTAATGAGCATGCAGCAGCTGCCTGGGAACCACCCCCAGCTCCAGCCTGCCCCAGAGAGCAGCAGGGAGCAGTCCTGGGGGCTGGCTGCTTGCTGCCTGTCCCTGTACTTAAGGGATGGCTGAGCTACAAGCAGCATCACGTGGCAGGAAGGTGCTCCCTAGGGTATAGCACCCCTCACCCTTTCCCAAAGGCTTTAGCTGTCCACCCAAACCAGGCTAGAAGACTTGTTCCTGGATAGAGACAGCTGGAGCAGCCACATAAATTACTATTGGGATCATAGGGTTGGGCTGACATCTGCCACCAGCAAAACTCCCCTCCCACACCATTCCCAAAGCACCTTCCCCCACCCCAGCCTCCATGCATGCAGCTCCCCATCCACCTGCTTTTAGCAGCAAAGCCTTTGATTCCTCTGCAAGCCAGAGGGAGAGCCCACTCGGGCTGGGAGAGCCCGTGAGCCACGGCTGGGTTCCCGGCAGCAGGGCAGGGCTTGTGCTCACACAGGGGGAGCGCACAACCACCCGCTCCTCCTTTTGCACCACGCATGCTCCTGCATCCCTGCTGCAGCTGGGGTCCTCTCCTCCCAGATCCCAGCCCCCAACCCACTCCACAAAGATGACTGCAAGAACAATAGCTCCTTTTTTTCCTTTTTTCTTTTGTACACAAATATATACAGGGTATTATACACATCTCTACACAGACAGTGCCACTCAGAACACACAGCTCTCCATGGGCAGAGCCCCAACAGCCACAGAGGCAGCCCCGGGCCATGGCCGTACCGACAGCAACTGGAGCATCCCAGCCCCCCTGCTGGACTGGGGGCAAGGGCGGTAGAGGTGGGTGCAAGGATAGGGAAGCAGGATCAATATCCTCCCTGCCCCAGCCTGGGAATGGACCAGGAACTCTCAGCCCACGTGCTCATTTAATTTCCAGCCCGTCCCTGGAGGGGACGGGTGACACTCACCGTGCCTCTCTGCACCCACATGTGCTCCAGCCCTGGCCAAGCCCTGGGAGCCGGGGTGGCCTGCCCTCCCCATGCACTGAAGACCCACATCTCTTCCCCTCCATCCCCCCTTTCCTCCGGGCCTGGGATTCCTATAGAGAGGTGTACAGGAAAGTCAGCTACGTCCTTCCCAGAGTAGCCCCCCCGCCTGCTCTTTGTGTGTGG